AACAATGCTGAATACAGCAGTTCAGAGGCACAAGAATCAGTTTTGGGTTCTTCCTCTGCTATTCACTGTATGCTCTTTTTATAAGCGCCACCAGGTCGCCATAGTTTTAATTGTGACTTTTTATCTTGCAATTTTCTTTCTTTCTCAGAATTGCATGATATAAACTCGCAATTACGAGGGAAACTCAATTGCAAGATTTAAACTCTCATTTTTTTAAGGTCAGAACATACTTGCCTGTACACAAATTTGTGTGGTTATGGTTTTTAAAGAATCTCTGAGGAACAAGAATTATTACATGGAATTAAGGCTTGTTCACACCAAAAAGCAGCACTTCTGACACTTACCCTCACTTTTCACAAAGAAGAAAGGAAGTCAAAAAGACTTGCATCTTTTCAAAAAAAGATGTTGAGGTTTTTGTATTTGCTATGACGTTTATCAAACAATGCTGAATACAGCAGTTCAGAGGCACAAGAATCAGTTTTGGGTTCTTCCTCTGCTATTCACTGTATGCTCTTTTTATAAGCGCCACCAGGTCGCCATAGTTTTAAGTGTGACTTTTTATCTTGCAATTTTTTTTTCTTCTCAGAATTGCATGATATAAACTCGCAATTACGAGAGAAACTCAATTGCAGGATTTAAACTCTCATTTCTGACTCCCCCCCCAAAATTGCAAGTTTATATGTCGCAATTCTGACTTTATAACATGCAATTGTGAGTTAAGTCAGAATTGTGAGAAATTCGCAATTCTGAGAAAATATCAGTATTTTTTTCCCCCTCAGCATTTGACATTATAACTCACACTTGTGAGTTTATATCTCTAAATTTGAAGAAAAGTCAGAATTGTATGAAAAAAGTTGCTGCTTTATTCAGTGGTGGAAATGGGCTTTCATATAAACCCCTCTCGGTTTAAAAAAAAAAAAAAAACTGACAAGCATGTCAACGTTCGAGTTGTCCTGATCAGATGCATTAGTAGTCCATTTAAATTTAAAATGTTTATTGTAACCCTGAGCGTTTGTCTTGGTGTAAACTGACTTACTAAGATTCATTCACATAGAATGCATTCTTGCATTAAAAAATGTGAAACACAGGGTCAAGGAATGAGGGGAAAATGCTAATCTAGAAATGTTCAACTTTTTAACTTGAGCTCCACATCTGTCTAGCACATTTATATAGAAAAACAATGAATCAGAACTAGTATTTGCTTAAAATCCCATCCCTGTTGATCAGACTCCTTACTGAGTCTGTGGAATAAGGAACATCTTTAAAGACTTTAAAGCAAGTAATGTCACATCTATCAGTTACATCAGGGGTGTCCAAACTCGGTCCTGGAGGGCCGGTGTCCTGCAGAGTTTAGCTCCAACCTGCCTCAACACACCTGACTGGAAGTTTCTAGTATGCCTAGTAAGAGCTTGATTAGCTGCTTCAGGTGTGTTTAATTAGGGTTGGAGCTAAACTCTGCAGGACACCGGCCCTCCAGGACCGAGTTTGGACACCCCTGAGTTACATGAATTATATTTTTAATTTTATCTTTTAGTTTCATATTTGTGTGTTTGATTCTTCAGTCGGAGTATGAGTTCATCAGCTGTGGGCTGTATCTGGTGGTGCTCCTGCACCTGTGTGAGCAGAGGTTTTCTGATGTCCTGGGTGCAGTAAATGATGCTGGGGTAAGACGTTCTGCATCTTTCCTGTTGCTTTGTTCATTGTCCTTTAGTTCATGTCCAAGTTCAGTGCATTGACTCGTGTGGTGCGTCACTCAATATGAAAGTGTTCATTATAAGCTGTTGTGATTTGAAAATCAAAACGTTCTCCCCTCTCTCGCTCAGTTTTTCAACTTGGCGAGAACTCTACACGAGCACATGGACAATCTTGAAAGTATGTTATGAATTATTACCATTTGTTTTGGTACTGCATCATAAAACCCTTAAATCTTGTCAGTTCATGTATATTAATCTTGATATAATCGATATCAACTTATTTTAAAAGCAAAGGTAAGTATTGATGAGAACCTAGTGTTTGTTCTGGTGCTTGTATTACTTAAGCAAAAATTTGCATTAGTTTAAAAATAAAAAACTGGATAAAGTTAAGTGTAAGCAAATGTTAAGATTTATTTGCATGGCATTTACTACATCTGTTTTTATTGAACTAACAGAGTGAGTCATAATTGGCTGTTGAATGCATAGAAGGAATTACCAGTGTCTCCTTGGTGTTAAAAATGCTTGCTTATGTTTAATTCTCCACCAGAAGGTGGCTTCTGGCTTTTTTTCTTCTTCCTCCCTCTTCCCCTTCTGGTTTTTAATGTTTCTGCATATCTCTTATGTTTGGACTCAAAGGTTCATACGCAGAATCTGATGAAGATGAGGCGGAGGACAGCAGACCATCCATCGACTTCTGTGACTTGGAGGATGATGATGATGAGCAGGTTTAATGTGTTGGCAGGGAGGAAGGGGGCGTGGCTTAGCAGTCTGTCTCAGTCTCCTCCCACTTGCTGTTCTTGACCCGTGTCCTCCTGCTTGAAGTGACTTTAGCCAATGTCTGATTGGCAGTGTAACCACTGTTCTTAGCCTATCACAAGGCTTTCATAATATGCAGATAATTCTACAAAGTTTATGGGAGTTTTCATTACATTTCTTTTT